CTGTAACTTCTGTCGGTGCTGTGCTTTTGGAAACCGAATTTCCCAGAGGAACCCACCCGAGGGATTAATGAAGTTTTATCTTATCTTATCTTAATTACCAGGACACAAGTATGTGTTCTGTCATCGTCCTAAATAAGAACACTCAGTCATTTGTTCCCTCAATCCAATTTTATTCTCCCATGTAAACATTTACATCCTAATTTCAGCGACTGCGTCGTCAGAAGAAATCTAGTGTACATGCTCCCAACTGCGCCTCAAAGGTGCGGCTTGAATAACGAACAACCCATCAGCCTCTGGGTGCAGGTTCAATGTATGTAGCCCGTGTGTCAGGCTGGTCAATGCCACGACAAACTTAGCATCTTAAGTGTGACCGTGGCTGGAAGTCCCAGTGGAACAAGGCGTGGGTAGGGGGAGGAGGAGGCTTCATCACCTCCTTCATCACACGCAGACGTGAGAGTAAGACGGCGGGTCAATGAGAAGCTCTGACTGTAATCGGTCACTTCGAATCCCAAATATGAAAGAGAGAGTCGGCATTAAGTGACACACAGTGTTAGAAAATCGATGCCTGTCATGACGCTGTATTGTGAATGGCTGAGGTTTGTTCTTAGGCTTCAGTTTAGCAGGCAGGGGGATTTCAGCCAGCGAGGGAGCGAGTCTGACTTCAGCGTCTTGCAGGGGTTTAGAGGAACAGCTGTCAGAAAATGTTCTAATTTACTCGTCCGCGTGGAAGTCCGTCACTTTCATACACCTGCTGTCATGTACACTGAGCCATCTTCATTTAATCATCTGTAATAATGGATTCCAGGGCTTCGAGGAATACCCTGTCTAGGACTATTAAACTGCAGGACTTGCAAGATGCATTTAAAAATAAAAAGAGAGGCAAAATTTCATCAGGTTTCAGACATGCAGTATCTGTACGGTGGCCCTCAGGTGCAAATAATAAAAACTATTTGACGAAACACACAAGACAAACACAACCACAGCAAAAGGCGAAAAAGTGCATCATCATTTTGTGATTTTTGTTTGTTTGTTTTTGTTGTTGTTGTTGTTGTTTTCTGCCATGTTTTCTGAAATCTTGTGCCTTTGTGTTGTTGTGTTTTGCACCTCAGGGCCTCTGTAGGCTCCGATGTTTTCCACAGAGCGTCTGTTTTTCATCGTCTCTGCCTAAAAAAATTCTCACATCTTTAAAGCTCTGCACATCAAGTTGATTTTGCTGCCTCTTCTGTTGTGAATCCATCTCAAAGTTTATCGCAGGATACCATAAACAACATCAATATGCCTCAGAAGGAACTCGTTATAGTGGCTGCCCTTCAAATTTGATCCAGTAAATTGATTTTGTACCGATTTTATCTATCGCTGATCGTTTTATTCTGTTTCTTTGCGAGTACAGTGTTTTTCCACTCTGAAATTTGTCTCCATTGACATTTCTTCTTCCCCTTTTTCTTCCTCTGAAGGATTGACCTTCCTCCGACACACAAGCCGCCTCCTCCCTACTCTGAGAGAGCACCGGCTGTTCCTCTGGGAGTCCACGCATCACAAGTGGCCTGGCTGTGTCAGGTAAAACCCCACTTTCTTTTTACAACCAGCTGAAAGTCACGTATGTGAATCATGACAGCTCTACACCACAATTATTAACACTGAATGAAGCGCACTGAGTCACAACAAGCAGCAGTAACAACGAGCTAACTCATGTCATAATCTGTTTATATTAAGCAGGAGGCTCTTTGGCTTTATTAATTTAATATGTTGGAGAGTTAAATTTTTTATTTCCCTGTCCTTTTTTGGAGTCTCACACATTATAGAGGCCTAAAGGGTGACGATGATAGAAGATGATTTAGGTGATGATTTGGGGTTTTTTTGCTTTTAATATACAGACTCGCAGGGCAGAGCACAGGCACGCGGTCACGGAGAGGCAGCACCCACCCACAGCAAGGCGGGGAGCCCAAAGCCCCACCCATCAGCGCTCCCGTCTGGAGTGGGTGTGTCATCAGAGTGGGACAGACCAGGTCTACATCAACCACCGTGAACACTACGTGTGAGGAACAGTTCCAATCGCAGTCCACCAATCACCCGGCAGTCACTCTGCCTGAGCAGCAGCGAGCTTATAGGCTTCACCTGATTCACAGAGCCATCAGTCCACAGAAGGAAGCGGTTGGTAGTGTATGAGGAAAGTGTCTCTCTATATAGGCTTTTTTTTTCTTCTTAAAACATAAATCCTTTCTGCTGTACGCTGGCTGTCACCCGTAGACTGTACAAAGAAGGTGGACATTGTCATGTTAGCTCCTTTAAACCAAATCTCACAGTTGCAGGCAGATCTGAATATAAAGCTGAGGGACACTGCAAGCTCATACAGTAGAAACCTGTCAGTCACAAAGTAGGCTCACATTAAAGCGTTTATTTTTCATACAAATGGGGACTAAAATGGACACAAACAACGTTATTTTGTATCATCATAGATTGAAAAGTAGAGCCTAAAAACTCATCAGATAAGTGTTCACTGAGGGCTCAGCAGCTGCTTTCCCATAGACTTTTATGAAACCGGATTTCTTTTGAAATCACAGGCTTTCTTGCTGGCTGTTAAAAAGCATTTTTAACCCTGGCGTCCACATTTGTGGACATCACATTTTGGGTTTTTTAGACCAAAATACTACATTTTGCTCTACAAGGGCCTGATATCCACTTACGAGGACATTATACTGCTACTGTTCGATCGAAATTTTAAAGGAATATCCTCATATGTGGCTCTCATTTTTCTTAGAAACAAAAATAAGGCACTCCTAAAGACACTCCTCCAACGCAAAAGCTACATCCATCTTTCATATACAGTCTATGGTGACACACTCTTGTCTATACAGTAAATATGTAGCTATAGCCAGCAGTCTGTTAGCTTAGCTTAGCATAAAATTAGAGATACTAGGGGGAAAAGGGCATTTCACAAAAGGTCCAACTATTCATTTAATTACCTTTTGTTATAAGTTCTCAGTGTGTATTACTTAGGGTACCGAAGTGCTTTAGAAGAACTAACTGCATCAGTTCATATGCCTATACATGAGTAAAAGTGGTTAGAGACTAGATTAATGTCAGAGTTAGCCTGCAAAAATAAAGTTTTCTTTTTTTTTTTCCTTGTTGGAGAGCATAAATCCATATTCTCAGTTACATCACCAGACCAAACTGTGAGGTCCAGTGAGACTAAATATTCTAGCTGCAACACAGACATAAAGGGATTAAAGTACTTCTATCGCAGCCCTGTGATGTGCGGTTGTAATGTTATGATGCTGTTCTTTTTTTAGGAACAAAACATGTAGATTTGTAATCCTGTGGAGACTTAACCTACCACAAATCAGGGAAACGACGATATGCAACAGTACAGATTACTGTTTTTTGGTTTCATGTGCACTGAAGAAAGATGCTTGCATTGTTTTTGTTAAACTAAAATAGATTACATAGTTCATAATCCTGTAGGATATACAGTGTCTGATTATTATTGTGAGGAGCCAGAGAAAGAATATTTTTAAAGTGCCATTATAACATTTGGCAGGGGGGAGGGGATTCCCTGCTGATACGTGTATGCTGTAGTGCTCACATTCCTCCACTGTGACTAGATGGTTTTGAGCTATTTTTTTGACTGCCGTATGTATTAAAAGTGCATATTGTTGCCAAGTGTGTTCTCAGTTGGAAACATATCAAAACCACTTGAAAAGCTATAGGAATAGAAGAAAGAGTCTACTGAATTGCTGTGTGAAGACAGAACGCTCCAGATGAGGGTGTTCAGTGACCTTTTTAAAGTAAACACTCTGAGAGATGGAAGCTCTGAGTCACGACACGGGGAAACAAGAGAAGAAGTCCTTGAAGATTTGAAAAAGAGTTTGTAGTGACGAAAAGAGTTTGGTTTTATTTATTTTTTTAAGGGAAATAAAAATCATCTCAAGGTCACAGTCACATTGCAATTACTGTGACGCCCACATCAAAGAGAAAAGCTCTTATTATTACCGTGAGTCAATGATGTGGTGTTTGTGCTGTGGAAAGCCAGAGCTCACGTTGTAATGACACCACAGTGAGGGTGGAGATGTTTGAAAGAAATCAGTGATTTGTTTAGATCAGTCCTCGTGTTACGGGCTCTAGCGAAGACTTTCCTAGGGTAACACCTAGTGGACAAATGGGTCAGCGCAACCCCCGATAGAGCGTGTGCATCACTGAATACATAATGCGACCCTTGGCTGCTCCTTGTCAGAGAGAATTAAAACTTGGGTGGCTGCAGTCTTACCGTCGAGCCTGTTTACACAGTGGAAAACTGCTAACCCTTTGGCACAGACGTCGTTTTCACAGCACAAAACTACAAGCGATGGAATAAATGATGCATTAATTCCATTTAGATGTTTCTCTATCAGAGTCCTGGTGCTGTGATTGCTCCCGCCGTCATGTCTCACTGAGTGTTGTTACATTCTTTATAACACCAGCTGAAATATACACTATGAAAGAAATTAGCTTAGGCACTGGAGGAAAATTGATTAATTAAACACTACTGTGCAAAAGTGAAGAGTCACCCCTCCTTTCTTTATGTTTTGCTTCCTAGGAGCCAGACTTTCTTTTCATTTAAAAGTGATATTTAACAATGGATCTGATTTCAGAAGTTTTTCTCTGCTTCAGCTGATCCATCTGCTGTTCACTGAAGTCTCATCAGAAATGGTCTCAGTGGGGTGGGGTGTGGGGGGAGGCTGTCAAAAAGCCATTCTTAAGGAAGGGAAACAAGGAGAAAATGCTGACATATGGACTAAAAATCAGCTGCAACAGGTCTCTTGGACTGATCGATACTGAATAAAGTTGGTTTTACCAAATATTGACTTTCACGTTCAATGGAATTGTACAAACTGTTTTTGCCTTATATACTGTATTTTCATGTATACTTACTTAAACAAATAAACGAGGGGTTGAGCTCAAGAGTTTTGCATGGTACTGTTTGTGAAGGCACAGAGGAAACTCGTTTTTATTTGTAGTAAACAAGATTTTATTTGGGAGCAAAATTACAATAGAACATCACAATAAAAACAAAAAATCCATTACAAATACAGAGTAGACCTAAAACATGGGCTAGCAGATGATGCCTGACTTTAGGCAGCTGTTTTTTAAGACCATGTGTTTATACTGATGGTTGTTATTACAGTGACTAAGAGAAAAAAGTCTGCTAATTTCACACGCAAAGTGCGCAGTACCACTGATACTACACTAATTCTGATATTGCACTAATGCATCATTTATGCAATCAACAGTTTTTGTTTAGAATATCCACGTTTTACTGTTCTCTGTATACTGCAGAGGTGGGTAAATATGGTTGAAGATTAGAAAAAATACTCTTTCTAAAAATAAGACTTTTGAAAATAAATCGACAGAATATTGTTGGTAAATAAAAGCATAACTATCCAACATGAGTTTTACACGCTCATTAAGACACATTAGTATGAGCAGCAGCTTCTTTTTTATGGTCTAAAACATGGAGCGTTAGAGGCTTAAACGACACTGCTGACTACTGGCTCAGGCTTGGCAGCTGGTTGCTACAATAACGAAAGAGTTCACCCAAACTCTTCTTTCCCATTCGCCCACATGTCATGTTGTTTTCTGTGCTCATGTTTGTACAAAGTCACCTAATTTCTATGTTTACAGCATGTGGTAGCAACTACTTCTAGATAAGTGGTAAAAGTGTAAAAAGCATGTTTTATACTTCACAAACTGTAATGCTGTGGGGATATATTCATTATTTTGGGGGGGAAAGAATGAAATTAAAGTCCACAATTTTGCCATCAGTGCTGATAATTCCATGAAATTCCTGAAACTGCACCAAATTTGACTATAACTGATTTAATGGCTTCCTCAAATGTTCCCTGGAAGCAGTTTAAGCATCTGGTTCCTGCAGTTATGGACATGTGATAATTGATTAGCTAGTTAGTGATGGCTTAGCAAGTCGTAACTCAAAACAATGGAAGATTAGTGAATACAGCCATAATACTAAATTACTCTACACAGCGCTGTACTCATATTTATATGCACAGCGAATCACAGAAGGACAGAAGGACAATAAAGCAAGGAATGCTTTACCATTTGATTGACAAGTCATTAGCCAGGGAGCGTGTGGTGTCACCCAGTTACACAACGAAAACCGTCCCACACTCATGTCGTGTGGTTTAAAAAAACATGGCAATTTTTTTAAAAACATTGGGTGATTTCATGGTTGCTATGTCTATCTTTTGTATACAGTCTAAGATGTTATCTAGAAAGTGCCTTTTTGTGTTTTGATCAATCAAAATGAACTGCATTTACTACAAGAGTCAATATTCCTCCCACTTGTTAAGAGTTGTACTTTTTTTATTAGCAAACTGCTTTCCCCACAAATATGAGGTCACTGTTTGTTTCTAATTAAAAGTGATTAGCACTAAGATTAAAGGAGAACACTCTCATTATTTCTCATGTAAGTCTTTTAAAGGTTGTGGGGCTGGCTGCTTACCAAGCTTTTTCCTCGACTTAGCAAGTGCAGCACTATTAATGCTGATTAATAGCAGGCGATGTTCATGTCTTTTTATTCTATGAAGCTAACAATGAATGATGCTTCATAATAAAGGCAGCAATAATGCTGCAGGGCTTCATTATAAATACTTCCACAGTTTGACAGGAACACAGCGGACTAGTTATGTAAAAATACACTTGTTATTAAAGAAAAAAAAAAGCTGTGATGTTCTGTGCCATCCATAGCCCACTCGAAGAGTATGACTGTGTGAACTGGTTCTATTAGACGCTGCCCACAGAGAGCATCACAGTAACTAAAATTCCCCTCCTCATACACCTCCTCATCCTCTCCCTCCTTCAGTGAATGGCAGCTTTGTTTAAGCTGTCAGGATCAATTATATCTTGCTCCCATAAACAAACATCATGGTGGAGAAGTGGAAACGAGCAGCCCCTCCAGCCGCCCCCCAGAGGATGTGCCCTTCCAGTCTTTCCCCAAATCCCAAATGCTGGGTGTTTTCAATACGTGACCAACACAGTTACTTTGACTTGGCTTTCTGTTTGGGCACATTCGCAGCTGAAATTGCAGGTTTTGGTGCAGGGGCTGGAGGGGGGCTCACCGAATCGTACACACTGGAGAACCTACAACAAAACGGGGGCATCACAGTGAAGAAAATACCAGCACCGAAGAAAAAGCCACAATTTTGCTAGCATGACATGACCAAGAACAGAAAACAATATCACATAAATGGGTAGCTCACTTACAGGCTTTTGACTCTCTTTAGAAAAGCTCTGACGGCTCTAGCAATCCTTCTTATCCGCACCTGTCACCAAAATATCACAAAGGTCAGTGCAAACCAGCAATTTCTGCATCTTACATAGAATTACATGCGATTTTTACTAAGATATGTTTCTGTTTTGTTTGGTTTTAACTATTAATCAACTTTGCTGAATCATTTTCATTGAAAATTTTTTTTAACATAAAATAAACTCACCTGCTGCTTTTTGTACAGCAAAGGAAGGGAGAAAACAGCGATCACAGCTGGACAGACAAATTATTCATGTAAATGACTGGACTGCTACTTTTAGAGCACTCTGGCTGAGCACTCTAAACACTTTCTACTACCAGCCACATTCATCCATTCACACACACATTTAGGCTTCACTTTCAATCTTTGTTTTTGAGAGCTTTGTCTAACATTCACACACACACACTTCAGTAGATGCATCAGAGGCAGCTCAGGGCTCAGTATCATGCTCAAGCATGCTTTAATATGCAGTGTTGAGGAGCCAAGGATCAATCTACCAACCTTCCAATCAGTAGATGACCCACTCTACCTCCTGGGCTTTATGTCACTTTAGCATTGCACAAAAATAATCTAATTGGTTCTAATGAAAACATTCTCCTACTTAAATAATTGGTGCAAACCAGTCATCTGAGGCGACTGATGGAGGCATGACTTCAAAAGGAACTTGAGGTTTGCAGTAAAAGTTATTCCTTAAATCTTAACCGTCATGTGCAAAGTGCTTTTTTCTGCCTAAACCCAGTCACACTTTAACTACTGAGATGATAGATCACTCATGAGTCTTACAAAGAGGAAGATACATTTGAAGGTGCTGGGAGCTTAATATATGTAGGTGGAGGAAAGAGACATGGAGGAAATTAGATACGTGTGTTAGCACAAAGCATAAGTATACAGCGGGTGCAACTTACCACTTATTACCAGGGTCAGTCCGTTAGTTTGGATGCCAACATAGGTCAGCAGATACAGAAGCACAACAAACTGAGAGAAAGAGCACAGAAAAGGATTACTGAACAGTTTAATAGTTTAGTTTATTAACTGTAATTTGATTTGTGAATGATGCTGCTTTAATAAATGTCTCACTGAGATTTAAAGCTGCTGAATGTAGTCTTGATCCCATGAGAAAATGAACACTGCATGGTGGCTCTGTTTAATTTTTAGCTGCTTTTAAGCAATATAGCCTGGATTAAAACAGTACAGCTGCTCAGAGCCCCACACGAGCGTGTGTGGTGTGTAGCTGCCACCAGGTGGCACCAAAGTCAAAGAGTCTTTTAATCTTGGCTTTGTGACATCTATACTATTGCTTTACCATCACACTCATACCTTAATAGAGTCAAATATGTTTTCAATGAAAATGAGCCGTTTGATTTCTGTGACAGCAAATGCGATCAGCAGCACCGTCTCCTCCACCAGCATCACCGTCTCCTTATTTGTCAGAGAGCTGTCGTAATCCAGACATGACCTAAGCACAGGATAACACATTTGTGAGAAAGTTCAACATGCTTCCAGAAAGCAGAGGAGCAGCATATTTAGCTGGAAAAGAAAAACCTGTGTGTGAACACTGATGGACTCACTGAAAGGGGTGAACCCCGGGGTTCCAGCGCAGGAGCTCCAGGAGCTTATAATAAAAACGGAGGGGGAAGGTGATGCACATGACACCCAGAAAGACGTTGGAGACCACAGTCACGGCACTAAGCTGGAACAAGCTGGCCAGACCGATTACCAGCCCTGTAAACACCACACCAGTCCTCCACATGTGGCGCCAGTACACCAGATCCACAACTGCAAAGCAATTAAGCACAAGACATCATCTTAAATGAGTGATGCACAGAGAGCGCGGTATATCTGAGTGAATATGCAACTGAAATGGGAAGTTGTTAAGCTTAAATTAGATACAGGCTAATGTTTCTTATACTTCATGACCTGACTGTGAAGCAGGGTTACCAAGAGTGGTAACATGACAGAAGGGTGTAGAGAAGTCGATAAAACTGGAGTGGAGATAAAACTAGCAACGAGGCAGTAAGTAGTTCAAAATGAGGAAAGTACTGAAAACCCAGGAAAAGAACTTATCTATCTCTACTTATTTTAATCCCACAGAGGTCAGTAATGTTGTTGATAATTTTACTTCTTCACTGTGTAGGACTCTGGATATTGTAGCTCCTCTGAAAAAGACTTCCTACTATAACTCTCAAATCAAATATGCACCTTAAAGCAGATAACTCCAAAGCTGGAGAGTAAATAGGATCTCAGTAATTTAGAAGATTGTCATTTAGTCTGGAGAAATACTGCTGCTTTGTAAAAAAAAAAAAAAAAAAAGCCTTTCTGTTCATCATTGATTGAAGAACGTAAGAACAGCCCTAGGTTTCTCTTCATTAGTGTAGCCTGACTGACAAAAAGTCAGAGCACTGTTAAGCTAACCATTCCTTTAACATTAACATTAACATTAACATTATTTGAAGAATGTCAGTCAGGTTTCAGAGCTCATCACAGCACAGAAACAGCTTTAGTGAAGGTTACAAATGATCTTCTTATGGCTTCTGACAGTGGACTCATCTCTGTGTTTGTCCTGCTAGACCTTAGCGCAGCATTTGATACTGTTGACCATAATATCCTATTAGAGCGATTAGAACATGCTGTAGGTATTACAGGTACTGTGCTGCAGTGGTTTGTATCATATCTATCTAATAGACTCCAATTTGTGCATGTAAATGGAGAGTCCTCTTCACACACTGAGGTTAATTATGGAGTTCCACAGGGTTCAGTGCTAGGACCAATTCTGTTTACATTATACATGCTTCCCTTAGGCAGCATCATTAGAAGACATAGCATACATTTTCACTGCTATGCAGATGACACCCAGCTCTATCTGTCCATGAAGCCAGATAACACACACCAATTAGTTAAACTGCAGGAATGTCTTAAAGACATAAAGACCTGGATGGCCGCTAACTTTCTGCTTCTTAATTCAGATAAAACTGAGGTTATTGTACTCGGCCCTGAAAATCTTAGAAATATGGTATCTAACCAGATTCTTACTCTGGATGGCATTACCTTGGCCTCCAGTAACGCTGTGAGGAACCTTGGAGTCATTTTTGACCAGGACATGTCCTTCAACGCACATATTAAACAAATATGTAAGACTGCTTTCTTCCATTTGCCAACATCTCTAAAGTTAGAAATATCCTGTCTCAGAGTGACGCTGAAAAACTAGTTCATGCATTTATTACTTCCAGGCTGGACTACTGTAATTCATTATTATCAGGATGTCCAAAAACTCACTGAAAAGCCTTCAGCTAATCCAAAATGCTGCAGCAAGAGTCGCTGACAGGGACTAGAAAGAGAGAGCATATTTCTCCTGTTTTGGCTTCCCTTCATTGGCTTCCTGTTAAATCCAGAATTGAATTCAAAATCCTGCTCCTCACATACAAGGTCTTAAATAATCAGGCCCCATCTTATCTTAATGACCTTGTAGTACCATATCACCCTATTAGAGCACTTCGCTCTCGCCTGCAGGCTTACTTGTTGTTCCTAGAGTATTTAAAAGTAGAATGGGAGGCGGAGAGCCTTCAGTTTTCAGGCCCCTCTTCTGTGGAACCAGCTTCCAGTTTGGATTCAGGAGACAGACACTATCTCTACTTTCAAGATTAGGCTTAAAACTTTCCTTTTTGCTAAAGCATATAGTTAGGGCTGGACCAGGTGACCCTGAATCCTCCCTTAGTTATGCTGCAATAGACGTAGGCTGCCGGGGATTCCCATGATGCATTGAGTTTTTCCTTTCCAGTCACCTTTCTCACTCACTATGTATTAACAGACCTCTCTGCATTGAATCATATCTGTTATTAACCTCTGTCTCTCTTCCACAGCATGTCTTTATCCTGTCTTCCTTCTCTCACCCCAACCGGTCGCAGCAGATGGCCGCCCCTCCCTGAGCCTGGTTCTGCTGGAGGTTTCTTCCTGTTAAAAGGGAGTTTTTCCTTCCCACTATCGCCAAAGTGCTTGCTCATAGGGGGTCATATGATTGTTGGGTTTCTCTCTGTATCTATTATTGTATGATCTACTGTACAATATAAAGCGCCTTGAGGCGACTGTTGTTGTGATTTGGCGCTATATAAATAAAATTGAAATGAAATAAAAATGAAATACAAGATCTTGAATAATTAGGCTGTATCACCCCATTAGCTCTCAAACTGTGTGCTTACTTGTGGTTCCTACAGTATTTAGAAGTAGAATGAGAGACAGACGCCATCTCCACTTTTAAGATTGGGCTTAAAACTTTCCTTTTTGCTAAAGCACATAGTCAGTGCTGGATCAGGTGAACCTGAATCCTCCCGTAGTTATGCTGCAGTAGGTGTAGTCTGCTGGAGGATTCCCATGATGCATTGAGTATTTCTCCTTCAATCACAATTCTTACTCTCTTTTTGTTTATACATCTCTCTGCATTTAATCATTACTTATTGTTAATCTCTGGCTCTCTTTCACAGCGTGTCTTTTGTCCTGTCTTCCTCCAGTCGCAGCAGATCGCTGCCCCTCCCTGAGCCTGGTTCTGCTGGAGGTTTCTTCTTGTTAAAAGGGAGTTTTTTTGCTTCCCACTGTTGTCAAAGCACTTGCTCATAGGGGCTATATGATTGTTGGGGTTTTCCCTGTTTTCTTGGTATTACTGCAGGGTTACATTAGGGTTACCTTACAATATAAAGCGCCCTGAGGCTGTTGTTGTGATTTGGTGCCGTGTAAATAAAAATTAATTCATTTGGTTTTGAAAACATATGAGGTATACAAAAGATGCCATGTGCTACTTTTGCTAGTACAGTGAATGTTTTAAACTAAAGTTAAACAGATGCTATGAGTTGCTGTATCATATTCTCCCTTTTCTCTCTGATAAGTCCCACTGTGGATATTTGAACTGTTTTGAGCCATAAATAGAGACTGAGACTTTTTCACATGGTCTCATAAAAGTCATCTAAAATTCTCTCTACCACAACGACCACAGCCAGCAGGTGTTTGAAAAATGGACACATTGTTATTTAAAGTGTGGATAAGAAAGAGAAAAGGGTAACGAAGAGAAATGACAAAACAATTTTACAGAAAATGAAGGACACCCTCACCTCGTTTCATGCCATGCTCCTTTATTAAAGGAGAAAATCTTTCTGAATGAATGCTGTTTTTAATGGGATCTGTACATGTCTGAAAGTAAATCATAAATCCTTAGATTAGACACTAGATCCTTACCCACCAACATTACACGAGCATCCTAACTGCAGCACAAATTTAAGATCATTTTATGATTAAAACAGATTATTTAAAAGCAGCAGAGTATTGCTGGTTTTCATAGTTGGGTTTCCTGAGAATTATAAAAGTAGATGTATTCTTATTCATTTATAAAAACAGAAACATTAATGCTGTCACACCAGTGAAGTCACTTCAAAGCTGGGCACAAGTACGCCCTCTCATTCTTATCCGAATAACTGGAGTTATGTGTTATCAGAAGTAAAACAGTCCTGACAAGACAGCATTTCTTATCTCCTATAACAATTTAAGCCTTTACAAATAAAACAAACTACATTCAGTCAGCAGTGGGCTCTCATTTAGCTCAATCCCATTCAGCCCATCTGTCGACCAAATGAAAGACACACTGGATTCAGTGTTTAACTTGCCATCCTGCCTGCATTCACACCTGCACAGCAGAGGGAAAGTAAATAAATTCCCTTCTTCTCCACCTGACAGCTGCACTCTGACCCCGTCTGCTCTCCTTCACTTTACTTAAAGCTGTCAATATTGATTTCCTTACGTTTGGTGGCCATTTCAGCGGCGGTCCTGCTTGCTCTCCTCTCTTTCTTGTGCTTCCACCGTTGGCTTGCACTCCAGGCTTTTTTTGGCCACCCCAGCTCCGTCAGCAATATAAGGCCCGGCTGGCCTAATTTTATCCTGTATTGGATTCACACACACTCAAATTGGGAACTTGAGACTTGAGCATGTACATGCCCCACAGCTTGTAGAGGCTAATGCTTCCTCAACCAGTTGGTGGCTGATTTGCACACAGAGGCCTTTCCATGCACGACAGACCATGACAGTTTTTTTTTTACGTAAAATGATCATCAATCCAAACTGATAAGAAAACAACTAATGTTAGCAGGAAGCTAATGCCAAAAGCTGCGTGCTACAGCACTGACATCAAGCTGAATACATACAGTCACTGCAGTCACTTGCCACGTTTTACAGATAAGCAAGAAAGATGAGTTTCTCTATAGATTTATTATTCACTCTGCACAAATATCCCTCATGACACCTTCTGTGTGTCAGACCAAAACACGGAGCCAAACTCGCCTCGCCATCTGTATATTTAACACTTTCACTCACACCTTTAAAGCTCTAAAGATAACATAAGAACAACCTTATAAAAGAGGAAATCCATGTTAGAAAAGCACAGGCTCAGATGTATACTATAAAAGGGAGCTGTACTAACATTTGTATTTAAAAAAGCCATAATGTGTTTACTGTACGGTATTTAGTACGAATTAAGGGTGTTATATAACTGTTATTCAACAACTGATATATTGCTAATTAATAGTGTCTAATATACATATGTAAATAAAAGTATGTACTTTTTTTTGTATGCTCTTCTAGATTTATGGTTGTAGAGGGCTATACTGACGTGTCCTATCCTAGCACTGTGGCTTCATATCAAAAGGATTCTTGCTGGACCCTTCTGAGTTGCATTAGGATGTTCTTTCTGTGCTTGTATGGCTCTCGACAGTTACTCTAGAGAGCCATGTAAGCAGAATAAGGGCATGTATGTTAGATTAACTGGTGATTCTACACTGATCATACATTCAATTCAGATTTATTTATATAATATAACTCCAAACCACAACAGCAGTCACCTCAAGGTGCTTTATACTGTAAAGTAAAGACCCAACAGCATCAAAGCGAAAACCCTAATGATCCGACGATCCCCTATGAGTGCAAGCACAATGGCAATGTTGTTCGTGAAAACGAGATCTCTGCAGTGAAAATCTGACATTAGCGTGAAAAAAAGGATGGAGAGATAAAAACTGTTGATCAAGCCGAGGAACATCTAACACATCTATTCTGCCTCCTCTTGGCAGGTGGTGACAAAACAAACTAAGATGTTTATTTTTATGGCGTGTATCACTTTGACAAGTGGTTTTTACACCATCATGACTTATTAGGTGTTTAAAAAAAAATCCTCCCTTCTTGTCTGATTGCAGCTTTACTAATATCTGTACCCAAGTCAGAGTAATGTGGAGAATTACACAGTGGTGATGTCACTGATGTTCACTGCACAGATGTAAGCTGTTGTTTGGGGAACGGGGCCAAACAAAAACAGCTGTAAGTTCTGTTATGGTGATTAATCATGAAAATAAAAATTGCAGTTTAAATGGCGAAGACACGCATATTTCTGCCTCTGTGATTATAAAACGCAGGAATTTTAAAAGTTTAAACAGTTTCAGTTTCTAAATAACATCAGAAAAAATAAGTAATAAAATAAACATTTTTATTACTGTGCAGATATTGCAAAAAAATACAGTCTATCTCCCGCCTAAAGAATGAACGCAGCTTTGATTTCAGGAAAAAACACCTGTGGTTTGAAGTGTATGTACTATTATTGTGTTTACGGTAATAAACAAAAAGATAAGGACAATATACGATCAGTTTAACAGGATCAACCTCCAACCTCTGTGTGTCTTCTTCAAACCATCTCACACTTTGTGCTGCGTGTCCGACAGTACTGTAATCCACAAGCCTATAATCCCGACCGATCAAAGGTTGAGATTAGGAAAGATGTGGGAGGGGCAGAGAGCTGCAGACAGGAGGATGGTGAGTGAGAGTGAGCGCAAACATGACAGTGGCAAAGCAAGCCAGGCAATGATTGGTGCACACAAATAGCCAGCCAATCACAGCACGGGCAGGGAAAATAACAAGGCAAGGGAGAAGCTGGTGAAAGAGGGAAGAGCTATGAAAAAGCGAGGGAGAAGGTGAAATCTCAGCAGCACAGAGAAGAGGCCAAACAAGCAGGAGCGGAAGGATGATCGGAGGTGAAAGCGCTGATCAGTGAGGTCTCCAGAGAGGGAGAGGAGAAGAAGGAGATGAGCAGCAAGAGGGGGGTAAGCAGCCAGCACACACAACATCCATCAGCTCAGGCAGCCATGCTCTGAGCCCTGGAGCAGCAGGGCTACGCAGACACTGCACAGGCCCCACATCAGGCCTATAGCTCAGCCCTCCATCCCGGCCAGCAACACCGGGGCAGGGACAAAACAAGATTCCCTTCACAACACCTGTGCATAAAAGCCATGAGGACAGCCAGGAAGGGCAGTGTAGAGATGCCTGCGTTTGTGCGCCAGCTGGTGAAAGAAACAGAAAAGAGGGTCAGCTCTTTCTTCAAAGGGGGCCGTGGAGGAACAGCAGAAGGAGAGCAGCAAGGGGAGGGGGAGAAGGAGGAGGTCATCCCCAGCCCCTACCTAGACCGGCCAGTCCTGGACAAGCTCACAGAGGAGGGCTGCGCCCGCTGGGGCCTCACCTATGCCCTAGGAAGTATGCAGGGCTGGAGGGCCAACATGGAGGACTTCCACAACTGTGTGCCACAGCTGGGTGGAGAGCTAGCTGACTGGAGCTTCTTTGCAGTATTCGATGGCCATGCAGGCAGCACGGTGGCTCAGTACTGCTCCCAACACCTTCTGGGTCACATCCTGGCTACGGGTGAGAGATCTGTTCAGTGACACCTGACAGTGTGTGTGTGGATGTGTGTGTGGGTGTTATCTTATAAGGATATTATTTTATGAGATATTCAGAATTTTAAACAGGCTGGTGATTTTCCTTTGTTATTAGTCATCAATATGATGACTGCTATAGCTGCTGGGTTCAGAAAATACTGTTTGTGCTCACAGATGGAATAGGACCAGAAGATGACCCGCCAAAAGTGAAAGGGGCCATCGAAGAGGGCTTCCTCCAGACAGACAAGCACCTGCACTCTGTGGCCCGTCGAGAGGGCTGGGAGAGGGGCGGCACCACTGTGGTGGCCACTCTCATTTCGCCATATTACATCTACTTTGCCAACTGCGGTGACTCAAGGGCCATGCTGTGCCGGTCTGGGCAGGTCTGCTTCTCCACTGAGGACCACAAACCTTACAGCCCTCTGGAGAAAGAACGTATTGAGAGCGCGGGTGGCTCCGTGTCCCTCCAACGGATCAACGGCTCCTTGGCAGTGTCACGCGCTCTGGGAGACTTCGGCTACAAGGGGGCAGAGAACCGGACCCCGAGCCAGCAGATGGTTTCACCTGAGCCAGAAGTGTGTGTGGTGGAGCGCTCACCGGCAGATGAATTCCTGGTGCTCGCCTGTGATGGCGTGTGGGACACCATCAGCAACGAGGAGCTGTGCGCCTTCATCCACAACCGGCTGCGTGTCTGCACCGACCTGAGGGACGTCTGCACTCAGGTCATTGACCTCTGCCTCTATAAGGTCAGCACTGTTACACATACTTACTGCATGCACTTGTGTTGCTGTTCAGTAGTCTGAATAACAAATCCTTTCAACTGATTAAAAACACAATTTCAGTTTCAAGCTGAGTTACATAATTTTTAATCAGCTTTGAATTTTATGGCTTCTAATCAAGTAAAGTAATCTACTACAAGACTGACTGTGTTTTTAAACAAAGACATAATGGACTGGATATTCATTTTGATATAAGGTAATGGGCTCTGCTTCCTCTTTTAAAGATAACCCTTTAAAAGTTCCGAGGTTGTAAAGGGTGCAAAGTCACACGTGGAAATATTTTCCTACTACATAAATGTCCATCTCTGCAACTAAACACTTATCTTGAGGTAAAACTGTTTTAAATCAAAAATAAGCACGAAGTCACCATTAAAGTTTGACCCATGGTGGTCCTGAGAGCCCATTGAGTTTTAGGAAAAAACACAAGATAAAACAGAAGCAGACTAAGTGAACTTCCTCACTAATTCTATAGCACATGCAGCATATTTGTGAAAGGTGCTCCAAAGTCAATAAACACATCCATATATGGAAGCTTAGAATATAAAAGGTTTTTTTTTAATCCATAGATAAGTAATGTTCTTCTTAGAGTGTGCTAATGTAAGCTCTCAGGGTCACTTTCTCATGGAGCTGAGGGGAGCTGCAGAGTGAGATGACAACTGAGGCCCGAGCAGAGGCACATACAAGACGTGCGCCTTTTGTTAAATGTCTTGTTTTCTTCTTAGTTTAAAATGTCATGCCAGTCCTGTGTGGTTAAATGTGGCTTTTCCTGATCCTTTTCAGCAAGTTTTGCCATACGTATCAATCCATTTACAGCCTACAATTTAAAATGAACAGGATCTTTGGCTGAAATGGCAAAAGTTAAAAATTTAAAAAGCAAGACTGACCTCAGCTTAAGCTTTGGTTTAGTCTCACTGAGACTGCCACTGCTGTTCATGGTACAACAGACTATCAGACAGCCTTAAAATAGACTGCAGGGGTGTCGGAACAGGTTACATCGCATTATTCAGGGTTCCCATGAGGCCTAATTACCTACACTCTCGCTCAGAGATTTTACAGAATGTTACAGAAATGTAACGAAAGAAAGTAGATATTGGATTAAAATTACATGGCAGATTACAAGCACAGAAACACATTAAGATAAACTTGAGCCACATGTGCACTCTGTTGGGTCCTCATATCACGCTTATGTAACAGTGCTTCAGCTTGGATGTGCACAATGACCTCAAAATGTCATGCCTTCTTCCGCACTCCATTTCCATTTTGCAGCTCCCCTGAGTCTGTGTGACATTGGAGTGCAAACGCTGATGTGGAAAAAAAAAGATCTATTTGTAAAACTGCTCAAGTGGGATGTTTCGTGAGTTGACATTTGTAAGGTCAGCCATCATTACTCACCTCTGCTGATGCCGTTTTGTTCCACAGGGCAGCTTGGACAACATCAGCATCATCCTGCTGTGCTTCCCTGGAGCCCCCCAGCTGTCAACAGAGGCATTACACCAGGAGGCTGAGCTGGAGGACCTGCTGGAGTCCAAGGTGGCAGGTGTGTGGGTAAAGATGCTTTGCAAGGGACAGTGACAACCTTCATATTAGCAACCTGGAGTCTGTTTTTGCCATGGTGTAATGTTTCAATTCTCTTTAGTGTTTCAATGGTTTGCAAAAAAAAAGTTTGAACGATTTGTTAATCAATGTTGTTTTTCCAAGATAATTATTTAAATGATTTCTGACATCACGTGTCTTGGGTAAAAAACAAAAGCAAAACACCAAATCTGTGATTCTTGCCATGAACCTATTTACTTATGAACACGGGCACTATAATTTATTCTGAGTAAGTCCCACATTTACCCTAGTGTGGTAAATAAATACCCATTAGAAATCCTGATGTGTATTGATCCACAGCTGAAAATAGTCCTAAAAACTCTGCTCTTTACAGACTTTTGCCTAAATCTAAAATGTCCAGTGTATATTAGAAAGAAACTCTCTAAAAATGCATCTTTCTTTTTAATCAGAGATTTATGATGAGCTGTGTGCCAGAGGGGAAGAGCCTGAGCTGCTGTCCGTCCTCACAGTTCTTGCATCCACTGTCATCCCTGGATTACCACCAGGTGGAGGCATACAGAGCAAGTAAGACACAAATGAGCATCTATGTGCATTTGTGCATGTAAACCACGTTCTGCTGGATGCAGTAGTGATTACATTGTGTTACTTCTGTGTGTTACAGGAGGAACTGCATTATCTCTGCTTACTATCAACAACGTGATGCGCACAAGCCCATGATACCAAATGTGAGTGACAGTTACAATTAGGTCCATACGTCTTTGGACAATGAGACTTTTTTTTTTGATAGCTTTTCCTCTCTGCACCAACGCAGTGGATTTTAAATCAAACAGTAGAGATATGATTGTAATGTTTCTTCAGCTTTAATTAAAGAGGCTTTACAACAGGATTTACAATAATGTGCAACCACTGGTTACAGTCAAAAACAAGAATGCAGGATTAGACTTTGCCCAAAAAACACGGTTCTGTAAAAAAAAGAAATGTGTTATGGCATGGGCCTGTAAGGCTGCCAGTGGAACTGGGTCATTAGTGTTTATTGATGATGTGACTGCTGATAGAAGCAGCGGGATGAACTGTGAGAGTACAAAGCTGTACTCTCAGCTCAGGTTCAGCCAAATGCTGCAAATCTGATCAGGCAGCACTTCACAGTGCAAAAAGATAAGGACCTAAAGCATTGTGCAAAGGCAACCCAAGAGTTTCCTAAAGCACAGAAAAGGAATATTTTTCAATGGCCAATTCAGTCAACTGATCTCACTGGGACAGAACATGCTTTTACTAAAGTGACTGAAGACAATAGTGATGGCAGAAAGACCCACAGTCAAGCTGCAAGTGAAGGCAACTGCAGTAAAGGTTTGGAAGAGCATCTCAAGGGAGGAAAGAGCATTTATTGGTGTCAGGGGCCTCTCTCTGTCTACAACCAAGCAAAGGATTTTTACCTGAGTCATAAAAACAATCCTCATATGCACATTTATGGTAAAACCATGTCTGCACAGTCAATGCAAACTTTTTTGATAAACCCCTTGAATTAAAGCTGAAAGGCTGCACTGTAATTATATCTTGATTGGTTGATGTAAATATCCACTGTCATGATGTAGAAAGGCAAAAAAACAACTAATGGACCTAACAATACAAGTAAAAAGACATTGTTATTACACAGTGAGCTCACTCTTTGTTACTTTATCTGTCTGTCTGTTCAGGGTCTGGGAGGCTCTTGAGAAGGCCAAGGGATTTAGATTTTATCTCCAAAGTTCCTCAAAGGAAAGGGACTGTAATAAATGTGAATATTAAACCTGTTTTTTTTTTCATGTGTGCAGTTTCACAACAAGACAATGGTGTTTGTTAGCAGCACCATCTTGTCATGACAAAAAAAATGCAAAAACAGATCTAGTAAAGCCTGATACTTTATATTTATACAAGAAAGATATTTTGTAAAAATGACTCAGAGACACTGACCCAGCAACCAAACCTCAACCTCAATAAACAGAAAGTGCAGATGACAAATTGAACTGAATAACAACCAACTGTGGCATAGTTTGTTTTCATTGGATAAAATAAGAAAGATTAGTACATGCAGGGTTGCATTTTGAAAATTATGATTTAAGACTGTACATATGTGTGTGTGCATGTGTGTGTGCGTATTAAAGAATGAACAGGTTTTACCTTTCCTCTTCAGGAAACATTGTCACCATTAAATAAAACCTAGCATGCAGCTAACACGTGTCCATTTGTTGTGACAGGAAATGCTAGTAGTTCATGAGACAGCTCGTGGGGATGCGCACAATCTTTTTCCCTCGTTGCTGTGAGTGAAAGGCAAATAAACTCATTAGATATCTGACTCTACTCACAATTCATGTCACGGGATCTAAAAACGTTTTTGACAAAGTGTTTTACATTTTCAAAAACAAGAACAAAATATGTCAAATTTGAAATACCTTACAAATGGAACTAAAAGTCTCCCCCTTAAATTGCATCCCGCTGTGATTACTGTCTAAATTTACATAAATGCGTTCAGCATGTACACAATTTGCAATTCTTTCTAAACATATATTATTTCTAAACACATTCAAAGGTAAAGTTTACATGAAATGGGATTTTCTCCATGAACTGATGCCTTATTCCCCTTTTTTACAGCTGACAAAACAAACAGCACCAGAGCGGGTCAGTTTCTGGATGAGTTATTTTACTGCTTACTCTATTGTAACATTATGTCAGCGAGTCATTTTCTGTGTTACATTAAGGAAATTACATTAAGTGTCACTATTGTTTTAAATCTAAATAAAGAATATTTGTCTGATGACTTGCTGTGCTCGTTTCTTAAATAACTCATTTTGAACACAGTGAAGACAAAGTATGAGCTGCGACTGCCGAAAATGGGTAATTATGATTTCTATGGAAGCTTTTAACCTCACACTCATCATCTACTCACAAAAACCCTCCTTATAAATGAATGAATTACAAACGGCTTTTGTTGCATAGTAAAGGATTTCATCTAGTTACCTAAATCTTTCTCTCTGCTCTGCTGACGTGATCCTGTGACTATCTGCAAAGCCCTCGTTGACATAAGGACGTCCTCTAAGAGTCATGTTTCATTAGATCTCAATTGAAAACCCTGGATCTCTTTCATGATTACTCTGAATTTCAATGACGTCCAATTGAAAAATGTCTTTCTTGGTGCTTCTGAGCTCCTGCAGTTTGTTTGAGAAGCTCTGTTTAAATACAAATCATATTTGAACTGTTTTATATATGCAGCTAGTTATCTAAGAGGAGATATTTTGGTTTCTACGTTCACTAACTACCACCTTATGTACAACGTTGTCTTCTGAGGAGCTCGGGGAGGGGGACATGTGCAGTGTCCTTAAATCAGCAGTCCTCTTTAAGTGCTCCTTCAAAGCTTCTCTCATCTGATTGCGTTTCTGTGAGTCAGTCACTTCAGGACATCAAACCCCTCTTCAAATGATGCTGAAGTCTTTAACACATATTTGTCCTTTAACTTCCTCTTTCTCCTCACCAAACAACGTATGAACAATTATTTGCTGTCTACAGTCCGCTTTTCAGAAACAAAATATTCTATTCTTGGATATTTTTTAATACAGAACAAATTACTCATAATAAAAAAACAATCCTAAGGAAATGTAAGGCTTAAATATAGAGAACCCAAACAACAATTGAGGTGTTGTTATGATGCTATCTATCCACACTGGTTTCCTGTAAGCGATTATTCATAATCCCCAGTGCTCCCACACCACCAGAGAAACCATTCTGATGGCTGTAGCTCTGCCGCGGGCCCTGGTGAGCCGTTTCACTCAGCTGTTTCTGCAGCAGTGCCAGAGACACCTTGTTGGACACCATGAACTCATTGACTGAGATCATCTCCCCTGACAAACGACGCCCCACTTGTACTTCAGCCAACGCGCCCGCATCCGTCTCGCTGTCGCACACAGTCTCAACCGAGCCGTCTGTGTAGCGGTGGTGGGATGAGATGGGCTGCACGGCGTTGCGTTTGATGCGTTTTGGCCTAAAGTGTGCCAGTTGACGCAGTTGACGCCTCTGTTTGTGATTTTTGTTGTGGAGACAGGGGCAGCAGAGCCACCAGCAGCCAGGGGTGGAGCAGGAACAGAGCTGATGCTTCCCTGAACAGACCAGCTTTCCCAGGATCCAGTTGAGAGTCTGCTTGATGACGATAGAAATGACGTTGAAAAGTGAGTAGATGCAACAAACCCCCATTAAGATGAAAAGGCAGTTTCCAAACCGGTAGGCCTCCTGAGATTCGTACTGCTGCCTCTGGCTGCTCACCAGGTCCCCGAAGCCAATGGTGCTGAAGGCCACGAAGCAAAAGTACAGAGAGTCCACGTAGCTCCAGTTCTCCATGGAGCTGTACAGAGTGGAGGCACTGCAAGCAATCACAACAGATGCTATCCCTAAGATCAGCATCACGTAATAGACGGATGGCTTCCATCCTTCCAGACTGTCCTCTTCACCAGATGACTCCTCCCTGCTCGACACCACCCCAACTCCAGCACACCTCAGCCGACGCTCATGACACCAGCGCATGATGTAAGCTAACATGGTGATGATCCTCTCCAGGAAGAGGTTAAAAAAGAGGATGGTGGCAGCACAGCCAATGAGACCATAGAAGATTAGGAATATTTTTCCTGCTATGGTTGCTGGTGTGGTCATGCCAAAACCTTAGAGAGAAAACACAAAATACAAGGTTAAATAAATGATCACAGCCGTGAGCAACATTCCAAAACTAAAGAAAATTCTGGAAAAAAAGTTAAGTGGAGACTTACCAATAGTGGAGACCACTGTGCCCACAAAGTAGAAAGCTCCAGAAAAGTCCCAGCGTGGCCTTAATGCGTCCACCCTGATGCCAGCTCCGTTTGCCTCCTCATACTGCCTCAGCAGAGTGTGCAGGGCACCCAGGTTGACCCTGTATCTCCTGGTGAAGTTGTCCAGCTGCTGTTTCCACAGGAGGCGTGCGCGGAGCTCAAACGGGTGTTCCAAGGCTGAGAAGATGGCAGCTCCGCACAATAAGTAGAGCAGGATGAGTCCGGCCAGCAGGCAAAAACGAGCATTGTCCTCTTTCATGGGGCAGCAGCAGCAGCTACCTGCAGCCCTCCTCTTAGCCATGAGCACAGCAGCAGCAGCGGCGGCACAGAGACACCACTGAAACAACATGCACCGCCTCTGCCGGCGCTGCCAAGTCACAGACTCACCGTGCGTGTTACATGCATCAACAGGCACAAATATACATGCACTAGCAGAATGAAACTTCTGGTTTAAACACGCATGCATACATTTGGCTCTAACATCTCACAGGCAAGCTTTCTGAAAAGGTTTTTGAGGACAGGTTGATCGTTTTGTTGAAAAGATTTCACATCAGACGAAATATCTGTAATAAAATGAGCAAAAAAATAATAATGCAGATGCAGATTAGTCAGATGTGGTTGCAAAATCTTAAGTTTAATAGGTTGATTCCTTTAACATGACAAATTGTTAGAAAACACTTCTTGTAAGTAGCAGTTTATGTCTTATAATCCGCACAACATAAAATACTGAAAGTTTCAAGTAAATAAAAACCACAGTACCTGGTCTCGCTGGCAGCACCGTTCACTTAAGCGCTGCAGATCTGCGTGTGCTCATTCCATGGATGTTCTGAACAATGACCAGCCAAAGGAAGCCTCTTGATTTTGTGTCTGTGAGTGTGTGTGTGTGCGCGTGTGTGTGCAGAGAGACTGTCTGATGTTTCATCTGTCAAACACTCACATCATCATCCCTCTTCTCACTGCCTCCTCCTCCGAGCGCACCCTGATTGGTGCAGTCAACTCTTCATTTGTAAAAGTGCTTTTTTTTCTTTTCTGTCATCAAACACCAGTTTAACATTAAAAAAAAACAACTCACGTTTGCTTCAAATAACTGATCGTGTGGTCATTTGCTTTCATCAAAGCATGGGACAAGAATTTCTTCTGATAAAGTAAAACTAACATTAACCTCTTAAGCCCCAAGCCTAACTGATCTCCTGCCTTTTGCCCCCGCATCAGGGGGCGTTGGGGCTTAAGAGGTTAAAAAAAAACATTGTAGTAACAGGATTAGAAGCTTGCAAGTTCTGCTGAATTAATCAAAGTGGACAAATTTTAGTTTCCCCAGCTCTCTTGTTGCCAGTGCTCAGGTGTCATTTCCACACCCACTTAGAGTGCTTTTTTGTTATCGCTGCAGACTGTGTGGGAGGATTTGTTGAGCATGGCTATCGGTTCCTCTGTCTGTTCGTTCCTTTAATCTTGTCTGGTGCTGCAGGTAAGGGCATGGGGTTCCCCGCGCCTGCCGACTAATGGCTGCACGTCAGCAGCGGGCAGGTGTGGAAAACAGACAGTCCATCTGCCTTGTCACGCAGAAAAGCAGCAAAGCAACAATTTCTCTTGATGCTGGTGTTTCAAACGATAAAAAACAAGATTTAAGGCAATCAGCTTTCACAAGCAAACAAGACGTAAAAGATCACATTTGTGGAAAACGAAATATAGTGCTGACAACAATGCAACAAATAATCATCTACAGAAACACTGACCCTGCTAACACAGTGATTTTCAGCTGGGGTAAGGTTGACTGTGTTCTCTCTTGGCTTTTCTTGTGTCTCTACTCTGTCCTCTCTCCTCCTGCCTTGGGCCCATGAATGTATTTCAGTTCAACCTTGGTGAAGTAGATTTCCAATTCCTAAAATATAATAAACCTCCTCTGTTCTCTGTCCATCGGGACAGCAGGCCTGCTAGAGAGGCTATCATTGAGGATGCACAGATGTATCCTTTGCATTAGTATTTTTACCTGAAACATATAGAAGGAACACTGTATACAGCTGAAATTTACAAACTGTGGAGGGCAGATGGGGTCTTCAATCAGCTAGTCTTTTGTATTCACACATTCAGTGTGTGAATGGGTGTGTGAATGGGTGGATGACTGGATATGTAAAGCACTTTGGGGTCCTTAGGGACTAGTAAAGCGCTATATAAATACAGGCCATTTACCATTCATTCGGGTATTTTAGATGATTTATTATGTGATCAAACATTCTGACCTTCACTGTCTGTGTGTGTTTTACTCTTGTTTTGATTAAGACTAAATAATTCTTTTTTTTTTTTTAAGTCTAACACTGTTGTACCTCATAAATCAGATCTGAAAATGCAGCTGGTTAAATTCATGACGCGATCATGACACACACATCAAACTGAGGATGTCTCATCTTTCTAACTGCTTGTTGTGTTGACTCCTCTCTCTTCGTGTCTCTTCCTCTCCTCCTCCACTCTTACCACTAATGGGAGGGACTACGATGCCAGGGGAGGAGTCTAGGAGAGGAATCAAAGACGTCCAACTGCCAGCAGGATTTAATGTTAATGTAATGCGCAAGTTTGGCTGCCACTGGCACACCATCCAGATTTACTTTACAGGTTTACGCAGACACACAACCAAGTCAGTAGTACAGTGGGAACATTTTCCAGCATGTAGCCAATCAAAATAAATAAATGTCAATAAAAATATTGAACTTTAAAAAAAAATGTGCAAAAAATGTAGCTAAAGCTATCTTGCTGGACCTTAAGGGCCATCCTTCTCTGTACTGACCATAACTGTCAATCTTAATCTGTTATCCGGAGTTAATGAAACAGTCGCACATAATGTCACTAAGGGCTCAGTGTAAATTTGTCAAAACCTTAAATTGCTGATATCAGTATGAGATAAACTACAATGGTTAATATGAAGCACTATTCATTCCATTAATGCTTCATATTAACCATCATTACCATCCATCTATTTGCTTCTGCTTCTCCAGTTCAAGGTCACATGGGTGCTGAAACCTAACCCAGCTGTCACTGGACAAGAGGCAGAATACACTCTGGACAGGTCACCAATCTGTCACACCATCATTACCAAATAAACAATTAAATTAAATTAATGGGGTAAATATTTTGAAAAAGTTAACAAACAGTTAATAACTGATGTATAAAACATTATATTAGTGGCTATTATAATGTTACAACTGATGTTTCTGAATCTTTGTAAATGCTCATTATCAACTATTAATAATGACAATATCATAGCAGAAAGAATATATCCACTTTTCATATACTTTTCATATTGTACCATTTTAGTGATACAATGTCACTTTTAAACTGATCAACCCAGAGGGGATGTCCATATTTTTAGCTTGTAATTGGTAGAGGCATGTGTTTCCTGAAATAGTGAGCAGGTCAGCTCAAGACAGAAATGTCAGACATCTTTGGCTGAGGCTGGAGAAAACTGCATTTGTGTTTGGCTCTGCAGTGCAGGTGGGGATAATGTGTAATGCTGGATTTACACTGCATGCCATTATGAAGCTGAGGTCATCATCAAACTATTAACAAAATATGGTATGTGCAGCAAACAGTAGTGACTTATTTAGTGTAGCATAGTGTTTACACTACTTTAAATTTCCATTCATGTAAACTCATTCTGGGCAGCACGGTGGCACGGTGGTTAGCACTGTTGCCGCACAGCAAGAAGGTCCTGAGTTCAATTCCAACATCAGGCCGGGGTCTTTCTGTGTGGAGTTTGCATGTTCTCCCCGTGTTTGCGTGGGTTCCCTCCGGGTACTCCGGCTTCCTCCCACCGTCCAAAGACATGCACTTAGTGGGGATAGGTTAATTGGATAACCCAAATTGTCACTAGGTGTGAATGTGCGAATGAAAGTGAGTGCGAATGGTTGTCTGTCCCTGTATGTTGGCCCTGCGACAGACTGGTGACCTGTCCAGGGTGTACCCCGCCTCTCGCCCTATGACAGCTGGGATAGGCTCCAGCGCCCCCCGCGACCCTGAAAAAGGATAAGCGGAAGCGAATGGATGGATGGATGGATGGAGCGAATGGATGGTAAACTCATTCTGCCTGACCACTTGCTGATGTTTCATTTAAGTCATAACAAGTTCCCAAAAGTTCTCTGAGTTTAGTTCTTCTTGGAAGGACTAAACATCTTCAGCCATCCTTTAGTACGCATACAATCCACGTCACACTGCGCTGATCCCAGTGTGTGTGTTTTATGTCCTTTCAGACAGACAGCGAGCACCTCACACTTCAGACTCAATCACTCAACTTATGGGCGAACACTGTCTCCATGGTAACAGTTCCTCACCCAGATTGAGCGAAGGCAAGCAGAGGTCAGGTTGTCCAACCTTTTAGGGGAGGCACTTGTTTCTGACAACTAATATTAACCACTTAACCAACCAGTGGAAAGTAAACACACACTTGAGACAATGTCAACACGGTTGTTTTTCCTTTCTTGAAACACTGAGCTGACAAAATCATGTATTAAATTTAAAAAAAAATTAAACTGGTAGCAGCTTCAGAAACACGAGGAGATTCTTGGTACTGTCTGATCATTGCACAATATAAATATAGTCTAGCAGCACTGTTTGGAATTACTTATCTAGATAAGAGAAACATGTCACACAAGAACTAAAACTTTTCAGTAAAACATTAATTTTATTCTACTAATAAGTGATTTTACTATTATACTAATAATAATACTACATCATTCTAATACAATATATTGTAGAATTATATTATCATAATGTAGACAAGAAATAGTTTTTTGTTTGTTTTTTCAGCATGACAATGATCCCAAACATGCTAGCAATCCAGCAAAACCATACCTGGATAGAAAAACACACAATGCACACAACACACAATGCAGTATCAGTCATGGATTGGCCTCCCCAGAGACCAAACCTCAGAATTACTGAAACATTGTGGGAATCTTGTTGCACCTATTTCCCATTTTCCAGCAAAATATGAAGAAATGAGGGCTCATATTTTTTCACATTACTTTATATTGTATTGGATGCTTTTAGCAAATTTTAATAAAGCTAATATTATCATTACTCGTTATTATTACTGTTACATTGTCGCCGTTACACTGCTGCATCGTTACTTGATTAGTCTATCTGACATTTTCGTGCACCGTGAACATTCACCGTATTCCATTTCGTGTGGTTGTAAGAGCAGTGTCTGATCGGTACCTGTGGAGGGCGCCCGCACGCCTGCGAGGCATCGAGCCTTCATCTAATCGAGACAGAGGAAGAGGCGGCAGCGGCAGAGAGAGGTAAAGAAGAAGAATTTAACGGTTCCCGGTTGTTGAACCGCTCCGGTCTCCACGGTGCCCTGCGGCTTATGAACAGTTTGGGGCTTGGGATGACGGTCATTTAGTCGACTAGCAGTTATAGTTACTTCATTTAGATAGGTCACCACCATGTTTTTACTAAAGGTAGCAATGTTTTGACAGCTTACCACCCTAAAGAGCATCACTGCACGCAGAGGTAACGTTAATTTGTTTGATTGCACATCTAATAACGCTGTGTGGTTGATGTACTGATAGCTCTGTTAGCGCTCTGTGAATCCACTAAAATAATACTTGTGCTAACTAACCATAGTGTCCGTGCTAGCTAACCCTAGCTAGCGCTGGTCAGTTGACCAGAGATGTAACTCTCGCTAGCTGACGGAGAAGTAGGAGAAAATGTTGCACCGTAGTTTAGAACAATGCAATTATCTCTTCCAACGAAACCGTGCTTAAATTTAACGCTGTTTCACTCGAAGTAAATCTTTTTTTCCCATGCGATGTGATAAAATGTTGCACATATCTTATTAGCAGTACCGGAGAAAGTGAAGTCGAGCGCGAAATCTTTCAGCGTTTTAACGCCACAAAAGAGACGCAGTTAATGACGTACTTTATTAAACAGTGGCTTAAGATCATCGTCAAATCCCTCAAGTGCCATACCGTTTGACTGAAGCCATCAATCAGAACTTTTACTGTAACAATGTTGACACCTTTTAAAATGAACTATGTCCGCTGCCGCCCCCTGCGGCTTACTTGTGTAATAGCAGGCTGTGCGAGAGGAGCAGAAAAAACAAGAGAGAGAAATGGTTATTGAAGATATCTATTTGAAGATAAGAAATGCATATGTTGTGAATAATATTTTATGCTTTTAAAATTAGGTTCTTAAGGAGGGTATGCCTTG